GAAATGACCCAGAGAGTTAGTATTTTAGGCGTGTTATGGGCCATATAACTTCTCTGTTGCATATTTTTCTTGGCTTGTCCCCTCTCTCCTCCTTCCCTTCCTGCCTTCCTCCCTCCATCCCTACCTAAAAACATACTTAGCTCAGAATCTCAACAAAAACAGGTTGTGGGCTGTATTTTGCTGACCATTGATTTACGTAATGATTACTTTGAAATCTTTCTCCATCTTTTTCTTTCTTTTTGACTGGGCTCATTAATTCATTAGATATTTATTAAGTATATGTCATATGTGAGCTACGGTTCCTCTGTGCTGATTTTGGTAGATGGTACAAAGATGTATAAGAAAGATACTGTCTGCCAGTCTTGGTTTAGGTTTTATTTCATCCAGGAGCTTTTGGCCAAGGACATGAATGGATGTTTGAAATCCAGGAGTTTCTTTGGCCACACCATGTGCCTTTGGGGCTACCTCCATTTCTGGTACCTCTTCTAATTTTCACAAAAGCACTGTCTGCTGATCGCACTGTTTTCTCTAGTGTGGGGCTTTGACTCTCTGGAGGAGGCATCATTTTCTGATTTGCACAAAAGCACTGTTTGGTCAGGTGATGGCCCTGAGTAGTGGGCATATGATAGGTCACCAGTAACTATAATACAGATCCGGTTATGTCAAATTCCAGTCTGGAGAGTTGAAGAGAGCACTGTGTATTTGATTGGGATGGTGTAATCCAAGGAAGGCTTCTTGAAAAGGTGGCATTTGAATTTCAAGGCTTTGAGGATTGAATTTTTTTATTTTAAGAAATTAAAGACATTTTGGACAATAAAGTAGATAGAAGTTAATAAATCATAGTTCTTAGGTTTTTTTGTTTAAGATTTTATTTATTTATTTGAGAGAGAGCAGCGAACGAGAGAGAAAGCACAAACGGGGGGGTGGGGTAGAAGGAGAGGGAGAAGCAGACTCCCTGCCAAGTAGGGAGCCCAATGCACAGCTTGATCCCAGAACCCCAGGATCATGACCTGAGCTGAAGTCAGACACTTAACCGACTGAGCCATCCAGTTGTCCCCAGATCCCTGCTTTTAGTTATTTTGGATATATATTCTGATGTGGTAATTGCTGGATCATATGGTAGTCCTGTTTAAATTTTTGAGGAACTGCCATACTATCTTCCACAGTAGCTATACCATTTTACATTCCCACAGGTAGTGCACAAGGATTCCAGTTTTTCCAGTTGGAAAACAAGTTTCCAATTTTTTGCCAACACTTGTGATTTTTTGTCTTTTTGATAATAGCTATAGTAGTGGAGGTGAAGTGGTAGTAGCTCATTGTGGTTTTGATTTGCATTTTTACTGATGACTAGTGATGTTGAACATCTTTTCATGTGCTTATTGGCTAATTGTATGACTTCTTTGGAGGAATGCTATTCAAGTGTTTGGCCCATTTTTGAATTGGGTTGTATGTTCTTTTGTTATTGAGCTATAGTTATGTATTCTGGAATGAACCCCTTATCAGATATATGAAATGCACATATCTTCTCTCATTCTGAAAAGTGTTGTCTTTTCACTCTGATAACTGATAATCCTTTGCACAAAAGTTTTTAATTTTAATGAAGTCCTTTTTACTGTTTTGTTTTTTTTTTATGTTGTCTATGCACTTTGGTGTCACAGTTAAGAAATCATTGCCAAATTCAGAGTCATGAAGACTTGTCCCCTATGTTTTATTCTAAGAGTTTCATAGTTTTATGTCTTAAATTCGCATCTTTGACCCATTTTGAATTAGTTTTTGTATATGTTATAAGGTGTAAGGGTTCAGCACATATGTGAGGGTTTATTTCTGGGCTCTCTATTCCATTTTATTTTATGTCTGTCCTTATGTCAGTACCACACTACTTTGATCACTGTAGCTTTGTAATAAGTTTTGAAATTGAGAGGCGACACTTTGCTTTTCATTTATGTGTCTTTAAATTTATAATTTGCCCTCCTTCTGCTATGTTTTTTTTCTTCTCCTGCCACTTATTTGTTGAAGAAGCTGTCATTTGTTATGTCAGGTTTACCACATTCTGGGTTTAGCTGATTTGTAACCTCATGGTATCAATTAATACATTCTCCCACACCATGTTTCCTGTAAACTAGTAGGTCTTGATTAAATCCGGGCTCCAATTGCATCATATCAGAAGGTACTTTTTATGTTTAACTTAAGGAAATTGTAAAAAGCAGGCAGAATGATATATTGAACCCCTACACACCTGTCACCTACTTTAAACGGTTAGCAACTCATGCCATGCCAGTCTTACTTCATTATAACCCCACCTATTTCCTCCCTCCTGTATTATTTTGAAGCAATATAAACAATCATTTAAAAAATTTCTTTATATTAATTTGGCATTTTGAATCACACCTTAACTTCATATTCAGTAACAATTGAAAGCATAGAATCCTGGATATGGTTGTTCTGTTAAATCTGACCCATCTAATAAGTATATTTAGGACTAGAGTATGATCTTGGCTTTTTTTTTTTTTAAGATTTTATTTATTTATTTGAGAGAGAGAGAGCGCGCACAAGCAGGGGGAGCAGGAGAGGGAGAAGCAGGCTCCATGCTTAGCAGGGAGCCCAGTGCGGGCTCCATCCCAGGACCTGGGGATCATGACCTGAGCCACCCAGGTGCCCCGATCTTGGCTTCTTTGAAATTCAGTTTTTGTTACTATAGGAAACATTAAGATGCTTTGTTCCAAAACACTAAAGAAAAAAGTTAAAAGTAAAGCATAATTTAAGTGGATCCCAAAAGAAAAAAAAAAGAATTAATTTGAACTTGTAGCATAAGCTTCAGAAAATGCTACTGTGATATGCTAACATTCCCCTTGGTTATTCAGCTTCCTGGTTTGGTCAGTGGAAATCTGTTGTTTCTACACTCTACCATTTTATACCGCTGTCTTTTATTATTTTCTTTGTTGAGTGATTTGTTCTAAGTAAAATGGATTGTCAAAACAGTTGTTCTTTATTAGTCAAAGATGTAATTGTATAATCAATAAAAACATACTGTGACTTCTATAGAGGGTCTGTAAATTCTTTTAAATAGCTTTGTGGGGATGCCACATGAATTTAAAGGTACTTAATTGGTGGCATTTGTTTAAGTCTTAACTCTGGCATCTCAGCAACCACTGAGATAAGATAATCCTAAGCAGGATTTTTAGCCCTTTGGGAGCCTTTGGTTACAGACTACAAATAATTAGAAAAACCCAATAAATTCAAATGATGCTTGAAAAAAATGTAAAAATTTGGTCAGGTTTAATTGTGAAGTTAGTTTATTCCTTGTGATGCAATTTTAGGGAGGCAGAATATAACCTAGAAATGAAAAGCCTAGACTTTGGATCACCTGGTTAAAATAGGAGCTCTACTGTTCTTTAGCCAGATGATTTTGGTCAAGATATTTAACTAAGGTTCAGTTTCTTCACCTGTAAAGTTAGGGTTGAGAGATTTGACGTAGTGCTTACTATAGTATCTGGTTTGTAGTGTTATAAATGGTATTATTAGTCCTATTCTGTGAACTTCAGGAATTTCTCTGTGCTGTGTGTGAGGCAAAGAGTTACAGAATCAGAATGTTAGAAATGGAAGGACTTTCAGAGGTGCTTTGGTCTAAGATGTTATTTTCTAGATGAGAGAGGGTGACTGAGTTGGAGAGCAAACCAGCCCTGTCCTTGGAGTTCTAGGATCAGTGCTGTTTTACTGGGAATTGGTACCATTCATACTCTTAAGACTTTTTAGACCTGAATTGTGCTTCTGTTTGGATTTGTGACTTAATTTGAGTATTTTTTTTAAACATTTTATTTATTTATTTGACAGATCGAGACACAGTGAGAGAAGGAACACAAGCAGGGGGAGTGGGAGAGGGAGAGGGAGAAGCAGGCTTCCCGCGGAGCAGGGAGCCTGATGCGGGGCTCGATCCCAGGACCCTGGGATCACAACCTGAGCCGAAGGCAGACACTTAACGACTGAGCCACCCAGGCGCCCCTGAGTATTTTGTTTATTTCATTAAAATGAGATTCCAGGTGTGCGTGGGTAGTTCAGTCGATTAAACATCAACTCTTGATTTCGGCTCAGGTCATGACCTCAGGGTCACGAGATTGAGCCCTGAGTCCAGCTCCATGCTGCGTGTGGGCCCCACTTAGGATTCTCTCTCTTCCTTTGCCCCTCCCCTGCTCATATTTTCCCTGTCTCTAAAAAAAAGAGATTCCAGTCCTGTTACTCCAGAGTAATTAATGTTTATGAGGAATATAACATTTTATGTTACTAATGTTTTTATCATTTCATAAGGAGCCTAATCTTTTCCAGTGGAATAAGCCTTAGGTTGTATTATACTCTATAACTAAATTCATTTGAGTCCACCTTATTGGAAATAACTTGACAGCTGATTTTGGTGTACTGCATTGTTCCGAGGTAGGGGATTGGCAGGGAAAAGTACTTGTTATATAGATCCTGACAGAGGTATTTAGAAGTGAAAGTGCTTTGAATGCTTTAACTTATTTTCAAATGTTTTTCTGCAGTTGTAAACATAGTGCCTATTTTTAGAGGCAAGGGAAAAACATGGGAGGTGACTTTGATGCCAGTCAATAATTTGTCAGTTAAATCAGGAGTAGAATTTATATTTTATTCCTAAGTAGCTTTCTGTAACAGAGCGATAGGTTACTTTGGGAGTAAAGATTATTATGTTTAGAATTGGTTATTTTTTTCCAGTAGGCTATTTTTATTTTTACTTCACTTATTTTATTTTGATCATGTTCACATTCTTTCCTCCTTCTTCCCTCCCATGATACATACCTGTTTTGGGTCTCTGAGCCAGCAAAGCACAGAGGGAACCATTCTTAGGTAGCCTTTATACTTAATATTAGATTAGTCTTCCCCACAGATTATCTATGCTTTATTTGAATGGAATTATAAGATACTTTAAATTTGAAAATATTTTTTTTAGCTTGTTTAGCCTGTTGAACTTAATAAACGTTTCATTTTTTCAGAGGTCGAAACAGCAAAGGACTGCCTCAATCCACGGTGAGTAATTTAATGTCACTTGTTTGGAAGAGTGGTAACTAAAATATTATTTCTGAACCATAGACCAAAGCCAAGGTGAAAAGAAATCCTTAGAAATCCTTTTGCTTGGGTTTTATATCTCCTATAACTTTTATACCTCAGTACTGTTTGGTATAAAATTATTAGCTATATGTGTTGTTTTTTGAGATGATTCTACATATAAAATGTCAAATAATCTGTAAATAGTATTTTTCATGCAAAGTAATAAGTCATTTGTTGTTTTATAAATGGCTAAAAGCAAATCTAAATGAATAACACCCAAAAAAGATAAGTGTAACACCAGGACTAGAGTTTGCAAAGTTCTTTGGGGTTTTGATTTTGAATTAATGCCCTCTTTTAAGTCCTTCCATTTTTCTCCCTTGGAAAAGGCCTTCTGGTTTTAAATTTTAGAACTTTATCAAGAAAATTAAACTGGGCATGAAGGGCAGTTTCTTGTGATTGGAAAAAATAAATGTGAAACTGTCATTGATCTTTCAGACTTTGCCATTACTGGACAGATATTCTTATTTCAAATCAGAAGGACACATGCTTATGTAGTAAGGAGTGGTGTGGTTGATGAGATCTAAGAGCACTATCATTGATTCATATATGCTAAGAGAAGATAGATAGTCAAGGGTTTTTGACAAAGGTGCACGCTCCTCCACCTCATTTATTTATTTATGTATACTTAACCCTATTTAGTGTACAGGTCTTTGAGTCTTTAATTTTTTTTTATTAACATATAACGTATTGGGGTGCCTGGGTGGCTCAGTCATTGGGCGTCTGCCTTTGGCCCAGATCATGATCCCAGGGTCCTGGGATCGAGCCCTGCATCGGGCTCCCCGCAGAGCGGGGAGCCTGCTTCTCCCTCACCCACTCCCCCTGCTTGTGTTCCCTCTCTCACTGTGTCTCTCTCTGTCAAATAAATAAAATCTTTAAAAAAACAAAAACATGTATTATTTGTTTCAGGGGTACAGGTCTGTGATTCATCAGTTTTACACAATTCACAGCGCTCACCATAGTATATACCCTCCCCAGTGTCCATCACCCAGCCACCCCATCCCTCCCACGCCCCTCAGGTCTTTGAGTTTTGACGCATACAGTTGTGTAACCACCACCACAGTCAAGATAATGGGACAGTTCTCTCACCTTGAAAAATCACTTATGCCGCTTTGTAGTGATCCCTCCTCCCTCTGCTCCCCAACCTTTTTTTTTTTTTAAGATTTTATTTATTTATTTGACAGAGAGCACAAGTAGGCAGAGTGACAGGCAGATGGAGAGGGAGAAATAGGCTTTCCGCTGAGCAGGGAGCCGGATGTGGGGCTCGATCCCAAGACCCCAGGATCATGACCTGAGCCGAAGGCAGCCGCTTAACGGACTGAACCACCCAGGCGCCCCCCCCCAACCTTTGATCTGTCCTCTGTTTCTGTGGTTTTGTCATTCCTCGTGTATGGAAGTTCACTTGATTTTTTGTATCACATGTAGTCAAAACATTGTTAGATGGTATGACTGTTTTCACTGTTGAAAACTTAAGCTTCTGTTCTCTAAAGAAACAAAAGATCATAGTAAACCAAGTCTTTCTTTAATGCATGTAAGGTATTATAAACTTAACTAAGCATTTTGTAACAAAATAAATGTTAACTTTAATATATAGACAAGGATAAATACTGATTGCTAATAATGTTTTTTTCTTAATATTCTAGATTTCTTTTGATGGAATTTATGCAAATATGAGGATGGTTCATATACTTACGTCAGTTGTTGTAAGTTACCAGATTATTGGGGAGAAACTGCCTTGGGAGTGCAGTAAAGTAATTTGATGATGTTAAAATGTAGATGAATGATTCTCAAAGTAACATTTCTTAGGTCACATTTAATCAGGATTATTTAGAAAAAATAGAACTCCATCCAAACTATTGTGACTCACTATAAAAGCATTCTTGTTAACCCTGCTGTGTATAAAATAATAGTAGTAGTTGATTGTTTTTAGTGCATTATTTTGTCACCTATTAAATCCAGAATCAGAAATATTTAAGTTCAGTATTTAAATTCATACTGCAAACTCTGAGCAGGGCCTCCTGAGGAATTTTGAGAATTCAGTGTATTGTTAATGTTTTAGAATTTTTTCATTGTTCTGTCAGTGACTACCTAATATGCTGAATGAAGCCTGGTGAGCTATATAAAAAGTAAAATGTAAACAATTATCCCTCCTGACTGGGTAGCACACTGTTTCTTTGATAAATTAATTGTATGTTTTTAGGGATCCAAATGTGAAGTACAAGTGAAAAATGGAGGTATATATGAAGGAGTTTTTAAAACATACAGTCCTAAGGTAATTTTTACTCTTTTCCTTTTTGTTATATGTAAAACCCCATGAATCATCAACTACTGTATGTTTGTATGGCTTCCTGACACTGTCTGTTAGTTTCTGATTTAGCAATTTATAGTTGTGAGGTGGGCATGCTTGTCACATTTTCATGTTCTTTAAAGCACTTTTTAAAACCACTTTGATTTTGCTCTTCAGTTTCAAATACTGATTATAGACTGGTTTGTATAATTAAACTTGCTCTGTGTGCTTATTAAAATATCTTGACCTTTTCAAGCATTGGGGGCTAGAAGGGGGATTGAGTGGTTCATTATTTTCTTCTTTATCACCATTAATATACTAAAAACAGACTATGGTAGCAACGATCAACCTTTAGATAAGAGGATTTTTGAATGATGCAATAGATAATAGGTCATATTTCCGAGAAAAAAGTATGATTATAAGGTGCTTTTGACCTAGATTATTTTTGTCAAAGACCTATAACAAATAGTACCTTGATGTGCTAAAGAATCCCTGTCATATTTTATTTTATAAATATTTTGAATATTTACTCATGCTTCTCATTTTAGTGTGATTTGGTACTTGATGCTGCACATGAGAAAAGTATGGAATCCAGTTCGGGGCCAAAACGTGAAGAAATAATGGAGAGTATTTTGTTCAAGTGTTCAGACTTTGTTGTGGTACAGTTTAAAGATATGGACTCCAGTTATGCAAGAAGAGGTGAATTTTGATTTCCTAAATACGCTTCATGGTTTATAAGATTTATTTAAACAAAGACTATACATCAATTATACAGACCTTTTTTTTTAAAGAAAAAAAATTTTTTTTTTTTTTTTTAGAATAACCTGATTAAGACAGATGGGAATTTTAATGCATTTTTGTTGGAAAATATTTAAAACTTCAGAGGAAGAGTCCTTGGTACTTTTAGTAGGATAAATAATGAGAGTTTGTGTTCTACTAAAAAGGTTTGTAAAGAGGGGTGCCTGGGTGGCTCAGTCATTAAGTGTCTGCCTTCAGCTCAGGTCATGATCCCAGGGTCCTGGGATCGAGCCCCGCAGCGGGCTTTCTGCTCAGCGGGAAGCCAGCTTTTCCCTCTCCCACTCCCCCCGATTGTGTTCCCTCTCTCGCTGTGTCTCTCTCTGTCAAATAAATAAAATCTTTAAAAAAAAAAAAAAAGTTTGTAGAGAATTTTCTACAGTTCATGGTCAAGAATGCTACAGATTATATTCAACTGAAATTTCTTGTCCTATTTGGCTTACAGTCCTTTAGTTTATAAATTTTTTTTTTTTAAAGATTTTATTTATTTATTTGACAGAGAGGGACACAGCGAGAGAGGGAACACAAGCAGGGGGAGTGGGAGAGGGAGAAATGAAGCAGACGTCCCGCTGAGCAGGGAGCCCGATGGGGGCTTGATCCCAGGACCCTGGGATCATGACCCGAGCCGGAGGCAGATGCTTAATGACTGAGCCACCCAGGCGCCCCTAAATTTTTAGTTTTAAAATGGTTATAAATAATGCTTATCTAGTTTTATTATGCTTATAGTTCTATAAATGTTTTAGTTTTGTGACCTGGAAATAAAGCACAGGTCTAAGGGAGAAAGGCAGAGAGCTGTGGATGGAAAAACGATCGTCTAATGAAGATGAAAAAGGTAAAGAAGTAGAACATGCATATTTTTTTTAAAAATTCAGAGTATGGGGGGCACCTGAGTGGCTCAGTCGGTTAAGCGTCTGCCTTCAGCTCAGGTCATGATCCCAGGGCCCTGGGATCGAGCCCCACATCAGGCTCACTGCTCAGCGGGGAGTCTGCTTCTCCCTCTCCCTCTGCCTGTCACTCTATCTGTGCTCTCTCTCTATCTCTCTGTCAAATAAATAAATAAAACCTTTAAAAAAAAAATTTCAGAGTATGGGACTATGTTTTGAAAATATAAAAGGGGTGATGTAGTTATATTAAAATTTAGTCTGTTTCAAGTGTCCACTGAGGAGGGAAATATGGGAATTGCTGTTACTTGTTCAGAGAGCATATTCTGCAGTGTTGAGTGTTCATAACATGTTGAAAGGCTCTTCTGGGCAATTTCGAACTTGGTTCTGAAATTCTTAAAATTGATTTTTCTGGTCAAATTCTGTAGTCCATTCTCTTTTTTTTTTTTTTTTAATTTTTATTTATTTATTTGACAGAGAGAGACACAGCGAGAGAGGGAACACAAGCAGGGTGAGTGGGAGAGGGAGAAGCAGGCTTCCTGCCGAGCAGGGATACTGATGCGGGGCTCGATCCCAGGACCCTGGGATCATGACCTGAGCCAAAGGCAGACGCTTAACGACTGAGCCACCCAGGCGCCCCTGTAGTCCATTCTCTTGTGAATTTTAACTCACCACTATTTTTGATTTTCATTATTCAGTCTATATCAATAGCTGTTTTTGTTGCTGTGTTTATTTTTCTACACTGTTATTGAGAAATACAAGCCACCAGAAAGTTAAAGCCATTCTCTTGGACCCGTAACAAGGTTCTCACCTATAGTTAGCTTGTTTTTTTCAGAAGCTAGCAGTGCTAGGTACCTTTAACCGCTTTGCCATGCTGAAGAAAGCACTGTGTTCTGTTTTTGTACCTTCTCAAATGTCTGTGTCTCTGATTCACAACTCTTTGTCTAAGAGTCCTTCAATGGTCCATATAAGGAAACAAGTCTTTTTTTTTTAGTTGCTGCCTTAGGAGTTGGTCTTGTTTATGCCTAGGACCACAAAATTGTATTTATGCTTATACTGTTGAAGTATTTTACTGTTTTAAACTTAAAAATTAATTTTGGATAATAAGCTGAAAGGGAAAATACAATTTCAGTTGAATTTAGTACATAACACTCTAGAAAAAGTATTGGACACAACAACAAAATGTTCCTTACTCTGTTGGGTACCAGGCCGTTTAGCTAACAGCCATTCACAATAGACTTTGTGTTTTGTTTTTTAAAGTGAATTGGCATTTCTCAAATTTGGAAAGATAAATATTACTTGGAAATATCTATGGTATCCCATTCTTTGATCCTCTTCAAAATAATGTCTTTAAATTTTTTATTATTTTATTATGTCTTTATTTCTCAGGTCATTTGTGTTCATTGTAGAAAGCCAAGAACATACAGGTCAGAGCGACAGCTTTGACAGTGTTCAGTACACTCATAACAGGCTGGATGTATTTTGCTGCATACATAAAAATACAGTTTTCTTGATGAGGATATCCCATAGTGGAGTAATTTTGGGTATTTAATTTTTTATTTATTTTATTTTTTTCCAAGATTTTATTTTTTCATGAGAGACAGAGAGGGAGAAGCAGAGGGAGAAGCAGGCTCCCAAGGAATAGGGAGCCCGATGTGGGACTTGATCCCAGGACCCTGGGATCATGACCTGAGCCGAAGGCAGACGCTTAACGACTGAGCCACCCAGGCGCCCGGGTATTTTATTTTAAAGACTATAGTGGTTTAGTGAATTATACAATTGTGTCCAGTGCATAGTATCCTGAAAATAGTATTAAATCATGTGTTTAGGATTTCAGGTCTCTTAAGCCAGGTTTTTAATACTATCCTGGCAGCAGGTGCCCTCTATAAGTATTATTTTGGAGATAATGTTAGTATACTTAGAGAAAACTTTTTTAGAGTAATTAATTGGCTTGGTTCATTAATTAAAAAAATTAAGACACAATCCAGTAACTTGGTAAAGTGAGGACACAAACCCAGCACCCACTAACCCCCAAATCATATTTTTTTTTGTTTGTTTTTCTTTTAAGGTTTTATTTATTTGACAAAGCAAGACAGCGAGAGAGTGAACACAAGCAGGGGGAGTGGGAGAGGGAGAAGCAGGCTCCCTGCTGAGCAGGGAACCCGATGCAGGACTCAATCCCAGGACCCTGGGATCATGACCTGAGCCACCCAGGCACCACCCCCCAACATTATGTTCTTAAACATTGTACTATTGTGACATAAATTATGTGGTCTAATTTGTTGTTTAGCTGTGTCAGAATAAATCTGCATTCACTTTAAAGGGTTTCCCTACAAATAAAGCCAAAAGGAAACAAAATTCCTATATAATATAAATATACATATTATTATATTATTCAAGATTCTTTTTTAAATCTTTGGCTTTATTTTTGGGGAAACTTTTAAAAGTTAGGTTAATATGGCTTTTAACTTCTTAATGCTGACTTTTACTGATTTTCATAAGTTTTTCTTTTTCATTTTAATGTTTTTAAAGTTGTCATATTCATATGCATATGCAAGTGAATAAGAGGCCTAGAAATAATTGATTTCTTTTTATGATCGTGAATAAGTTTCATTTGATCTTTTGGATGCTGTGTATGTTACCGGATTGATTTGCGGGCCAAATGAAAAGTAACTACATTTTGTAAGCTGTGGGTTCTTTTTGCACACCCATAATTAGACCATCAGATTATCACTGTAAAATTAGTATGTGTTTTATCCTTTATCTGAATTCCATTGCAGACAGACCTGGGATGCTCTCATTTTCATCCTGCTTCATTTTGCCACCTATTTTTTAGGGCATAAACCTGTTTTTCTCTCTGCATCTTTCTACCTTGGAGTTGGTGTATTATCTCTACTCACTTTTTACCTGGTTTCCTTTCTCTTTCCAGTGTTTCTTCATCTGCTTTTCTCCTTCACTCTCTTTCTGCTTTTTCTGTTGTTCCTTTATTCCTATTTTGCTCTTTGATTTAATACCCCAACTCAACTACATTTTAGTTTTCTGGCTCCTTCCTTCCTTTCCTTTCTTTCTTTTTTTTCCTTTTAAGATTTTATTTATTTATTTGACAGAGAGAGGGAGAGAGCACAAGCAGGGGGAGCAGCAGGGAGAGGGAGAAGCAGACTCCCCGCTGAGCAGAGAGCCCGATGCAGGACTTGATCCCAGGACCCCGGGATCACGACCTCAGCCATAGGCAGACGCTAAACCAACTGAACCACCTAGGCGCCCCCTGTGTCTACTTTCTTATTTCATTCTCCTGCTCCTGACTTAGGCTTCTTTCTACCGTTTCATTTCCTTGGCATGTTCTCAGTCTAGAGAACAGGGGTCAGCAAACTTAAGGCCTGTGGGCCAAATCCACTCATTGGTAAATAAAGTTTTATTGTAACACAGTATGCTTGTTTGTTATGTATTGTCTGTGGCCACTTTGATGCTACAGCGATAGAATTGAGTAGTTGTAATACTGTATGGCTTGCAAAGCCAAACAATATTTTCTGGTTCTTTATAGAAAAACATTGTCAACTCTCATCCTAGATCTTTTTTCCTACTGTGTTTGGGTTGTTAGAGCTGATCAAAAATACATACTGTACTGTCTTTGGTGAAATAACATAGAACATACTTTGTCTCTAACTCATTCTTTGACTCTTAATATACTGTGTAATTTCATCTGTTCCTTATTTGTGACCATTGAAATGGGATTTAGTTTGAAGAGTCACTTTTCTTTCCAGCTTTTTATTTATTTGACACAGAGAGAGAGAGAGAGAGAGCATAAGCAGGGGGAGTGGCAGGC